GTTTTTCACACGGCTTGTCATATCTGATTTATTTTGGCTTGCGGAAACAGGAACTCAACAAATCTCTGGCTTTCAGCTTCAGTGTTTCTCTACCTGCAAAAAGGAAATTCACATTTCATCTGCAACCTGGATATTCTGTGTTGATACAACTGAGTCCTTGTTGGAAAAGCACACCTGTGGCCTTTGCTATATTAGTTGAAGCTGCTTTTTCGGAGGATTACCAAAACGCTACCGCTTTTGGCTTCAAGTGTGTCTGCAGGTGGAAAGACAAGGCCTCTCTCATAGGCTAGAGAAAACTTTTAATTGTTGGAGTCCTGGGGAAGGTGATCAGAATTTTCAAAAGGAACACATGTTTGTCTTCTGTGATCTCGATGTGCATCCGAGTACTACCAGTACAGGAAAAGACCCTGATATATTGGCTGATCTTATTGTATTTGAAATTTTTCCTGTCAACAAACAGATGGAACTTGTAGCCGAGAGTTGTACAGTGACGAGATGTGGAGTGTGTGTAATAAATGCTGCAAATGGAGATACAAGTCTTGACATGAGTCAACCGGTATTGTCCTTGGATCGCCCAAAGATGCTTTCTGATGATGAAGTTGAAGAAGCATTCAGGGGCTTAGATGAGAAAGATAAAACTCTATTTCTTTACATCACGTGTTTGTTCAATGATGAGGAAGCTGATTTGATTGCACCGCTTATTGCTAGCATTGGCTTGGGAATTAGCTCTGGGTTCAAGGTCTTAGCCGATGACTCTCTCATATGTATATCTACCTACGGTGTCATAGTGCGACGTAACTTGCTACAAACAATGGGTCGGGAGATCGTCCGTATACAATCCATGCTACCTGATAGCTTGAAAATAAACAAAACACCATCAGTACAATCTGGCGAGTTGGTTGGAATCGAAGATCATGTGGCAGACACTTCTTTGTCAAGTTCAAAATCTGAGAACTTGAGGGGCTTGGAGAGCTTCAAGCGTGAAATGAGAGAACTTGAGGAGCTTTTCTCTAAGCTTAATCCTATGGCTGAAGAGTTTGTTCCTCCTTCGCTCACTAAAGAAGGTGGTAACGGAGGTTTCTTCACCTCTGCTGGTTCGTTCTTCCCTAACAATGGCTTCGGTACTACTGATAACGAAAACAGAGGTTTTCGCCGGGTAAGAGACACCATTGTTTTTGCATCTATTGTCTCTAATTTTGTGATATTTGTGTGTATTGAGATTCAATTTCATCAAATTCTCTTAGGGGTTTTGTTATTTGATGGTTTTTTACTGGATACGTCACTCTTGGGAAGGGGTTTGTGTTCATTTTTGTTGTGGATCTTCGAAATTAGATAACTTTATGAAAAGATTGTACATTTACAAGATTGAATTTGCTTCCTGAAACTACCTTATATCCATAACATTCGTTTTGAT